GACTACAACAATGTAAATGGGAAGAACAGCAACAAATCCAAACTGAAAAATGTGAAATAATAATGACCAAACATGGNGACTACAACAATGTAAATGGGAAGAACAGCAACAAATCCAAACTGAAAAATGTGAAATAATGACCAAACATGCACTCAAAGAAGAGATATGAGATGATGCCTATCCCCACTGTGAAGAAGTGGAGGAACATGACCGTCAAACAGTGCACGTAACAAACTTTTTGGATATGTTGGTTTTGTGGAAAATTAGTTTCCCCTCCTCTTTTTTATTATTCATTATAGGGTATGGTTCTCTGGGAGGGGGGAAAAGATGGTACTGAATTGCCTTTCTGGAGGCAAACTGAGTTAACTGTCTTTCATTCTTCATGAGAGCTGAAGTGAACTACTATATTCTGTGAAGACATTACTGAGAAAAAATTTTGAGAGACACTGAGAAACTTGAACTGCCATCCTGAGGTGAACTCAGCTGAGAAAAGATAAACAATGAACTGACATTTCTGAGAATTGAGTTAAATGCCATTCTCAGAGGAATTAAGTTAACTACATTCTGAAAAGAAGTGAATTGTGGATTGTGGTTCAAAAGTTTTAGAAAAATCAGATATAGTCAGTCACTGGTTAGAGAAGTTCTAGTCAGTAATTTCTTTCCCTTGATTTTCCAGAACACAAAAGAAATTCTGACTGTGAGCCTCTTCACAGTCAAAACATTGTTTAAATATTTATCTATATTTCTGTGTTATTTGTTAATATTATATGGCCAGCAATAGTGATGTGGTTAAGCCTATGAAAGGAGTCCTGTAGGGGAGAAGTTAGGTTGAGATTGTGATGGGATGATAGTTTTCCCAATTTTACAGCGGTGGAAGCTCTGAACTTACTATATAATGAGAAAATTTTCACCACAAGCAATTTCTGAGGTAATTTAATATTATACTTACAAGACTGCCTTTGAACTTGGTTAGAAAAAGATAAATGATAAGATAATGAACCAGTTGCAGACTGAGGGGTTAGTGCTTTAGAATTATCTCTTCTAGAGTTATGTGGAGAATATATTGGAAATGGGAGGCACAAAAAGCTGGGAACCTAATTAGGAAGCTATTATCATAGTTAGTACCATTGAGGGATGTTGAGGGCCTACCTGAATAAGGCTGGTGAATGAATGGAAAAAAAGAGGATGGATATGAGACATAGTCTGGCAATAGAATCAATTGTTATTTAGTCATTTTTCTGTCACATCCAACTTAATGTGAGCCCTTTTGGGACTTTCTTGTCAAAGATACTGGCTTGCCATTTCCTTCTCCAGCTCATTTTACAGATGAGGAAACTGAGACAAACCAAGGATTAAGTGACTTGCCCAGGGTAACACAATTAGTAAGTGTCTGACGCTGGATTTGAACTCAAGAAGACGAGTTTTTCTGACTGTAGGCCCAGCATTCTATCCATTGAACCAAAGGCAATGACAACTAACTCACTGGATGACAGAAGTGAAGAAGACTAAAGAACTGAGGATAATAATGAAATTGGGAACCTGTGTGGTCCACAAGAATGATGGTTGGTACCTCTGGCCAAAAAAACAAAAAAACAACCCCCCCACCCCAAAAAAACCCATACAAACAAACATAGTAAGTGATAGGTTTTAGGGAAAAGATAATGAGTGGATTCTCAGACTAGAGATGCAGAGGGAGGAACTAAGGATCCCTAGCATGATGTCAACATGTTTATTTTATGTCCTAACATTCGCCAAAAAGGAAAAAACAAGACTCTTATCTCCAAAATGAATCTTGAGGGGGCCAAATAGAAAGGCTCGATCTAACCCCTTGGTCCCTGGAAATGTTAGGGTTTTCAGGCAGACGTGAGTTAAAAAGGGTTGAGGTCACAGAGTTAAAGTATTAATTTAGCTCCCCCTGGCCCAAAGTTTTCTTTTGTTGACTCATACAAACTGTAAAAGGCTGACTCTAGAGAAGAAATAAGAAAACACACTACTACTTTTGATGTCTTAGGAAGGTCAGGAAAAATGAAAAGCAGAAAAGAAGAACATTTAGCAAGGATTTTGGCAACACAGTACTGTCAATAAGCACACTGTTTGCTCCCTAAATAGTTTTCTATGTGCCCTTTCCTCAGGATTTTGAGAATAATGCACTGTATGACAATGCCACTTACTAGTTAGGTATATACACTTGCTTTAACTTGCTTTCTGCTTCAGCTGCCTTCAACCGCTTCTGCAAATAGAGACAAAGAGACAAAGGGTCAGAGACATCTGTTTAAGAAATACAGTCGAGCATGGAAGGGCAGTGCTCCATGAACTATCACTAGAAAAAGGGAAGTGTAGCTATGACTTCAGGAGTGGTGAGAAGAAAATGTGGTTCTTTGTCCTGATTAAAGAAAGAGATTTAGGTATGGTCTTTGTTAAGATGCTTTCAGAGGAGAAAAGAGTTCTCCCTAAAGGTTAAAAGTCTCTCAGGAATTCTTTCAGATCTATACTAAGAGAAAGCTAAGCGCGCTCTCTCTCTCTCTCTACATACACACACACACACACACACACACACACACACACACACACACACAGATGAGAGAATAATTTATTATCTGAGATGCCTTTAAACATAAATTAATTTCCCTACTTATCTCTTCTGATTTAGCAAATTCTTATATTTTTAAGTCAAATTACAGCCAAATACTTAGGAGTTCATGATAAATAAAAGCCAGAACAAAGATAAATAACTTTTAGACAAAAATCATAGCAAACTAGGATCATTTTCAATCATGTGTGATGTAACTGGCAAAAGTTACTTAGTCTAGGGTCTTAGAATAAAGACTAAAGGTTTGTTCTTAATACTTTCTCTTCATCAGTTCCAATTTAATTCCACCCCTTTCCTGAAGTCATATTTCTTTTCTCAGTGGGCAGCTACCATGATTCCCTAATGTGGATATATATACACCATTCCCAAAAGGACACAAAAACAAGAGTTGATCTAAAAGGCTCTAACTTCTAGCAAGATAAGAGTAGCTACTTCAAATAACAGCAGCCAATTACAGTTCACTCACATCTCAGTTTAAGTATATGTAACATTGCATGTATTTTTAGATTTACTTTTAAAAATTTATTTGAAAACAAAAAAAAGGAAAAATAAAGTATTTTACATAACTCTCATTTTCCTCTTATAGTTTTCTTCCTACTCTCTCTTAAACATATACACATTTTATCCAAACTTTGAAGACTTATTCCAAGTCACAAAAAACAGCCTTGCCTCTGCACTCATCTGTGTAAATGGGATCCATTACATGTAAATAACTACATACCTAAAGTGCTCTTATAACTGGCAAGGAAAGTTTTTGCTTTAAACAGGTATGGGAAAGGTAGGCATATGAAAGCATATAACTGAAACTCATCAGGGATTTTAAGCCCCTGACATTTTCATGTCCCTCACACCCAGGAAAGTTAAGTGGGAAGTATCTTATTCGTGAAAGAAAAAGGGAGAGAAAGGAGATTGAGTATGTATGAGTAATGAAAAGTGCCAAAGCCAGAAAAATAAAAAGCCCTGGAGCCAGCCATAGGCACACACCTAACACACTGTAAAAGCATCCTAAGGAGTTTCAGGGAAGGGTAATTCCTCAGGTGTGTAATTCCTCAGCAGTAAATTCGCAAGGGAAGTAATACTTTTCACTTAAAAGAGCACAACTCTTTCGAGGAAACACAACAGATTATATTTGGAAGCCAAAGAGTTCTCACCTGTTGAACATATCTGTCTGTTGTTTTCCACATGTAATAGTATTCAATGATGCTGGTTAAGGACTTCCATGGAAGCTGGAAACATGCAAAGAAAACATCTGTCATCAATCAAGCTGAAAGTTGGTGTAGTTAACTTAGTATCACACTTTCTGTATATTGTAGCCCATGACACCAAGGTAGAGAACAAGGAGAATCTCAGTTATTGTCCTGGAGATATTAGTTTATTGGAGATACAGGACACTCATGCAGTCTAACACACTCAAAAAGGAATCTGAATTATCATATAAAGGACTCTCTAGAGGGAGAATCTGTTGTCTCCTAAAGCAGCCCATTATTCTGCTTTTGGATAGCTGTAATTGGTTGGGAAGTTTTCTCCTGAAATTAAGCCAAAATCTGCTTCTTTGAAACTCTACCTCTTACTTCTGGTTGTGCCCTTTGCAATCAAGAGAAAAGTCTAAATCAGTCCTTCAAATACTCAGAAACACCTATCACGCCCACCTTAAATTTTCCCTTCTCTAGGATAAACATTCTCCATTTCCTTCTATTTTCATATGACATATCTAGTAAATGCCTTTTGCCATACTGGCTACCCTCCTCTTGTTATGCTCCAGCTTCTACTTCTAGTTTCAGTTTGAGAAAGACCTGGAAAAGAAAGACTTGAGATGAAAAAGGAGAGTGAAAAGTGTTTCCCAAATTCTGCTTGAAGCTTCTATGAGAAATGAAGGAGGGGAAACTGGACTGAGTAGATCAAGAGTGATCAAAGAATAAGAACCTGAAGAGAAAGACTCAAGATGAGGCAAAGATAAGACAAGGAAAAAAAAAAAGGTAAGTGGAAGAAGTTAAAGGGCAAAGCAAATTATGTAGCAGGAAGAGTTAAGATATTTTAGATGCAAGTCATGCCCAAAGGCTCAGAGAAAGACTGAGACAGACTGCAGCAAGTACCTGGAGATAGTTAGATTAGCGGGAGGTGGGGGAGTGAAGGGTGGCTATTTCTTTGTTGAAAGGTTTGAAGTTTCTAATAAACAGTTTTACCATCTGAAAGGCAAGTAGGTAGCTCTACAATACCTGAGGCCAGAGTAATACAATTCATATTACTCCTCTGGATGTACTAACTTCTACTCTTAGGTGTACAACAGTCTGGTAGCAGGTAAAGGCCGAAAATGGGCAACTGTTACCACGTTAGATGGGCTATTATGGATACAACAAAGTATGTGGAATTTAGAGAAACCGACTTTAGGTAGAAACATTTAGAGGAATAGCCTTGGAGCTCATCTTTATGTGCTACAGAGAGGACTTTTATCTTTGAGGTCATAGTATTTATCATCTATTAGATATGTGTTTTCTATTTGATTAAGACAAATGACTTTCTTAGGGTCACAAAGATACCAGGGCAGCAAACTCAAATCCTCTGACTACAAATCTAGTGCTCTTTCCACCACACCCTGTTTCTAACCCAACTGTTTTACATCCCAGTTCCTATTAAATATAAAAGACAGATTCAACAGTTTCCTTTCTGTACAGTGCATATAGGCAGGGAAGAAATTCCTTAGAGCCTGAATCCTAATGAAATGCAAGCACCTGGAGCCACTAACCATTTTCAAATGCAGAGTTACTGTAACACTAGGGTCAGGGAAGTACCAAAGTCAAAAAGACAAACAAGAACAGAGGAAATACCTCAGAGAGTCAAATAATATTCATTTATTCAAAAAGGCTGCAATGGAAAAGTGGATAGGTCACACTGAAAGCTTCACTTGCATCACTCTAGTTTATCATTCCATTAACATCTTACTTTTAAGATGAAAACGTTATTGATCTGAATTCTAAATTACGTTATGACCTTTCTGTCTGGGTCAAATGTACAAATTCTACATGAAGGAAATGAGGGGAAAATAAACGTCAAAGTTTTTATAATGACATTTATTTCTGGTTCAAAAGGGGAAGAAATTTACAAAAGCATACCTTAGAAAAGTTCATGTTGTAATGAAAAAAGGAATAGCATTTGACGAGAATAATGGGACAACAACCTAACATTGGGGAATGTGTCTGGGGTCAGGGTGGTGGGGTGGGGAAGAGGGGAGGAGGAGGGAGAAGGAAAGGAAGGAGGAAGATGGAGAGGGAGAAGCAACGACAGAGGGAGGGATAGGGAGACAGGCTGGGAGTGGGGGGGAGAGAGAAAAAATAAGAGAGTGAGATGGAATGAGAATGTGTTAGGGAACCATATGTATGCTTTCAAAATATCTTTTTTTAAAAAAATTATTTATTTTTACTTTTCAACATTCACTTCTATAAGATTTTGAGTTTCAAATTTTCTCCTCATCTTTTCCCTACCCCCACCCCAAGATGGCATGCCACTTGATACAGGGCTCCACATATACATTCATATTGAACCTATTATCACATCAGCCATGTTGTAAAGAAGAACAATGGAAGAAACCACAAGAAAGAAGGAACCCCCCCCCCAAAAAAAAGAAAAAAAAAAGAGGGAGAGCAAATAATATGTTTCGATCTGCATTCAGACTCCATAGTTCTTTTTGTGGATGTGGACAGCATTTTCCATCATGAGTCCTTTGGAGTTGTATGGATCTTTGCATTGTTAAGAAGAGATGAGTCTATCAAGTTAGTCATCGCACAATGTGGCTGTTAATGTGTACAGTGTTCTCCTGGTTCTGGTCACTTCACTCAGCATCAGTTCATTCAAGTTTTTCAAGGTTTTTCTGAAGTCTGCCTGCTCATCATTTCTTATAGCACAATAGTATTCCACTACATTCATATAGCATAATTTGTTCAGTCATTCCCCAACTGATTGGCATCCCCTCAATTTCCACTTCTTTCCCACCACAAAAAGAGCTGCTGTAAGTATTTTTCTATATGTGGGTCCTTTTCCCATTTGTATGATCTATCTGGGATACAGGTCTAGAAGTGGTATTGCTAAGTCAAAGGGATGCACATTTTTATAGCCCTTTGGGCATAGTTCCAAATTGTTCTTCAGAATGGTTGGATCAGTTCACAACTCTACCAATAATGCAATAGTATTCTAATTTTCCCATATCTTCTTCAGCATTTATAATTTTCCTGTTTTGTCATGTTAGCCAATCTGATATGTGTGATGATTTGACTGGTTTTTTAAAATTGATTTTTGATTAATCAGAGTTGTTTTGATTTTCATTTGTCTAATCAATAGTGATTTAGAGCATTTTTTTCATATGACTATAGATAGCATTAATTTCTTCATTTGAAAATTGCCTGTTCATATCCTTTGACCATTTTCAAAATATCTTTTAAGAAGGAGAGGCTAGAAAAATCTTGAGAGGTAATGTAACAGATTTGAAGTTACAAGAATTGGATTAAATCTTGCCTTATAGCTTACAATCATGGGCAAGTCAAAAACTCTCAGTCTCAGTTACTTCATCTGTAAAATACGTATGGTGCTTGTACTGCTCTGAGGAAAGTGCTTTGCAAATCTAAGTTTTCCAGAATCTTCCACTTTCCTTTTCCATTATCATCCTGATGCTGATTAAGGTAAAACACAGCCAATTGGTTACCCTTTCCTTAACTGTATTTGACTACAGATTCCTTTCCCTATGCTTTGGCCAAATAGTAAAAATTCCTCAGTCACACATTCACTTAATCTAAAGACAAACTGTAATCATCATTGTGAAAATACTTACAAAATCTTGCTGAATGTCAGTGAAATCTTTTCCATATTTTTCTAGAGCTTCCTCAAAAAGATTGGCCTCTGAAGCTGACCACTCTTCCATTTCATCTCGGCAAAGAACTGGACCGCCCTGAGGCACCAGAGCAGAAATGGCCTTGGAAATATCGTAGATATTTTTGTGCAAAGTATCCATTGCATGAAACTAAAGGAAGAGTAACAAAGGAGTTTGTTCATTAGTTGGAGGATCATGTTCAAAAGGAAATTTGACATATAAAAGGGAGGCAGAAGGACTCTCCAATTTCTATTATTGGGAAGCCAACCCCTCAGAAGACACTACGGTGTTACACAGAAATGCTAAGCTAGAAGTGACAGTGGAGAACAGCTTATCAATGACTCTCAATTTACAAAAACTGAGACTCAGAGACGGGAAGTAGCCTACCCAAGGTACAGCAAAAAGATGGCAAGACATCTAAAGGGTGTCCTGGAAGAGAGGGAAATTGAAGTGTAAGCCAAAGACCTGTTGAAGGATGTTGCTAGCTGGGAGATTCTTAAAAAAAGTTGGTTAAATTGAAATGATGTGAATAGGGAAGTACACAAGTTCATACAAGGAAGGAGCAGATCTGCTGACAATCATTTAATAAAGAGAGAGAAAGATTTAAGCTTGATTTAAAGAAAAATCCCTACCAGTCTGAGCTAACCAAAAGTATAACAAATCACTCTTTCAAAAAGTACTGCGTTTCTACATTTGGTCTTTGGGAAAATCACTTGACCACCATGGTCTCAGTTTATACATCTGTAAAATAAGAAGTTAGACTAGTTAACTTCTAGCTCTAAATCTATGATTAGGGATTCTTAATCAGTTACAAAATGGATTAAAGCACTGTAGGTCCAAGCTTTGAGATTGTGAGACTGTAGTTACTTTGAGTATATAATATTTTTTATTCTACTATGAATCATGATATTAAAAGTCACTGCTGGCATTTCTATTCTGGCCCAGTTCAGTGATTCCGGCTCAATAATAAGAAAAATGTGTTTAGGTACTTGCAAAAACTAACAAAGGATTAAAGAATATCTCAAAAAAAAAAAAAGATATAAAATGTTTCTCCCCTCCAATTCCCTCTCTAGTCACCAAGTCAGCTCAAGAAGATAATCCCCAAACAGCCAGAGATTAGAAATAACTTCAGAAGAAAATTTCCCCTAAGGATGGGTCTCACATTTCAAGTGACAAAACTTTACTTGCTGCTGGAACTACCAACCAGTGTACAGAGCACTGGGCAAGGGTACCGATTAAAAAGAGTGAAGTAAGAACAGAGGGGACAAGGGTAAAGGTGAAAAAGAAAGGAAAGGAGGGGCCCAAACACATCCCTCCCGTGATGAACAGAACCCAGTTGTTTCTTCCCAATAGCAGTACAATCCACACAAACCCAGCACAATTTCCCTAAAGCACATTCAGAAAGATACTTATAGCATATATTTTTAAGGGAAGCCAGGACCAAAAGACATTCCCTCCTGCACAGAACTTCAAACCAGGAAGGTGATATTTTTATGAATGTTACAAGGACCTTTTCTTCCACTAACTACAGAAATAGAAATTAAAGTCAACTAAGTGAGGATAGACAAGGATGTGAATCCAGGATATGATAATGCCGGTGCTGGAAAGCACCTTAGTTATTGTTTAGTTCAGTTCCTTCATTTTATAATTAAGAATGAAACCCATAGAAGGAAATTAATTGGCTTCTCCGAGGCCATATGACACTGAGGTAGCAGTAGAATTTAGGTGTTCTTACTGATAGGTTAAGCTCTATGAATTCAGACCCAAGGCAGGAATAAGAATGTTGGAATGTTTTAAGAGAAGACTCATCTAAGTGACAAATTATATTATAGTCTTCCTAAAGGTTCTGTTTTTCTTCTCCTGCCTGCCCCTTCTCCACCAAATAATTCCACAAGAAAAACAGAATTGGGTATTTGGCAGCAACCTCTCTTGTCATTAATAGGGCCTGAGCTTAGAGGAAAAGGACTTGAGCCCAAATCTTGGCTCAGCAAGTTATTAGGTGTCTGACAAATGGTTTAACCTCTCTTGATCTAGTTTCATCAAAATAAGGGAGTTTATATTAAGTGAACTCTAAATTCTGTGCTAGTTCTAAATCCATTATCCTATAACCTCTACCTTCAACTTTAATAATTTATTTGTACGTCTTATTTGGGACCCAGGGCTCATTTAGCATTTTCCCATGTGATCAGCTGAAAGAATATATTTTGATAGTTTGTTTCCCTTATGTGTAAACTGGGGATAATATTTGCACTACCTATCTCCTGGGGTTGTTGTAAGGAAAGAGATTTTTTTTTAAAGTGCTAAAATCTCTTTCCTCACAACAACAAAAAGAGGTAGGTAGTACAAACATTATCCCCAGTTTACACATGAGGGAAACAAAAACTCTAAAGACACTAGTAAATATCTGAGATGGGATTATATACCAAGATCTCCTGATCTTATATCCTGACAATATATAGTCATTTTGTTATAATTTGACATATGCACTATTAAAAAAAATCACCAGTGCTACGTAAAATTATGCAATAAAAACTATAAGACTTATGAGAAAAATGGAGTTAGGGGTACAACACTAAAAAATGTAATAAAAATGATTAATGAAGGGAAAGGGGGGTGGGAAAGAGAATAAGCATTTATATAGTTTCTACAATGTGTCGGAGAACTTAGCTAAGTGCTTTTACAAATATTATCTCATTTGATCAGTTTTACACATATTAAATGGTTAACAAATCTATATTACAAGAAACAGTGTTGGCATCCGTGACCTTGAGTTGCTGCTTGTCCTGCATCCTGAATGCTACAGGGCTTGAGGCAGAGAAAGTTGCTGTAGGCAAGAGGACAGCCTAGGTGGGCTTCTATTTTGGGGCCAAGCACCTGAGTTATGGTGGAAGGTGGAGGAGAGGGTTGGGGTAGGCTGCTCTTCTGCCCATAGTTCCTACTACACTAGAAGACATATAATAAATATACTTTACCTTGAAATAGACCTGAAGTTTGGTTGTGGAAGTGGGCATCAGAAGGGCTGTAGTTTGTGAGTTATTGTAAAGTGGTACAATTTTCTGTATTCTCTCCCTATTTCTCGCAGAAGAAATGGCGCATAAGCAAACAAAATTCACATTATGCTCAAATCATTCCCTAATATATCAATCATTCATGTTTTCAAAATAAGCAGTATAGCAAAGTCACCAACCCACTGTATCACTCAGCAACCATAATGACTTCACAATAAATGGGATCCTAGTTAAGGAATGTTCTATATCCTCTTCAGAACTTAATCATACTCTGTCTTGTATTATAATTCTGAGTTCGTATTTTATACATGAATTTAATATCCCTAAGTATATTCTCTCTCTTTCTCCCTATCTCGAAGAGAGGTAAGGCTAGGGGTGGTGCTAGTGGTATTTTTCCTGAAAGGACTCCCATTTTCTCTCATTCCTCTAGCAGCATCCATTTGTTCTGCACTGGTCTATGGAAATAATGCTACCTTCATTTATCTAGCAATGTGTATATATTGAGTCCTACCTTCAGATATGGTGAGCCTTACCCAAGCACTCTAGGATTTTCTACCCTATTTACTAAAATAAATGGTGATGGCACCATTCATTCGTTGAACAATCATTTCTATACCAAACTTCCAAGAGGATACTTTACGGAGCTAGACAAAACAATGGTGAATTTTAAAAATCTATAATAAGGGAAGCAATGACAAAAGAATGAAGAATGGACAGAACTTCCAGAACACCAACAATATTATAAAGTAATAATGATGAAAATTATTTGGTAGTGCCTTAAGAAAAAAAAAAGAAGAAAAATACAATAATGGAATAGAGTAGATGAAGAATAAAAAAAAACAACTGGGGGGTCAGCTAAGTGGTGCAGTGGATAGAGCACCAGCCCTGAAGTCAGGAGGACCTGAGTTCAAATCCAGCCTCAGACCAAATATTTGACACTTACTAGCTGTGTGACCCTGGGCAAGTCACTTAACCCCCATTACCTTTAAAAAAAAACAACTGAATTAATTATGGTATGTATGATAAACCCCCAAAATGTTTAGGAAAAACTTTCTATTTGAAGCTAGAAAGTAGTCTGACAGAAATTAGGTTTAGAACATTTTAAGCCATCTATCACAATAAATTTAAAATGGATATTGACCTGAATATTAAAAGTCATACCATAAACAAAATTACAAGGAAAAAATAATCAAATATCTTTCACATCTATGACTAAGAGGTAAATTCTTAAACAGAGGTTAGAGGTAATCACACACACACACACACACACAGAAAATTTTGGTATATGAAATATAAAAGCATTGGCACAAAACAAAATGCAACCAATATTAGAAAGAAAGAGATCAATTAGGAAAAACTATCAAATATTTTTGATATCCAGGATATATAGAAAACTAACAAAAATATGAAATCAAAAGTTATCCCCATAATAAGGAGTCAGAGGACATGAACAAATAGCTCTCAAAAGAATTGCAAATTGCTAAAAACTATATGAAAGAATGCTCCAAATCACTAACAATAACATGAAATTTAAATAAAATTGAGAGTTTCACTTCACACTTAGTAACTAGACAGAGATAATAAAAAAGATGGAAATGGTCAGTTAATGTTGGTGAGACTGCTGAAAGACAGGCACATTAATGCACTGTTGGTGGAGTTGCAAATTGGTTCACCCATATAGGAAAGCAATTTAGAATTAAGTAAATGGAGTAATTAAAATGTCCATACTAGGTCACTGATAAAAAAGAAAGCTCCACCTATTCATAGTGGCTACTTTCAGTAGAAGGAACTAGAAACAAACCAGATACCCAACAATTAAGAGAGGGCTAAACTAATTGTGCCACATGAATAAAATGGAATATAAATGTCTGTAAGAAATGATGAACATGAACACAGAGAAGAAACTGAACTAGTTCATATGAACTAGTTCAAAGTGAAGTAAGCAGAATAGCTACAACAAAAATAATACACACAATAACTACAATAATGCAAACAAAAAGAATACCAACAAATCAATTGAAACTGAATGCTGGAGAATTATAATGATCAAGCTAGTCTCTAAAGATGAGATATGAGAAAGCACTTCACTTGATTTACTGATGAGGTCAGGGATTATATGTATGAAAAACAAAAGATGCCAAA